ATAAGGCTTTAAAGGTCACAGAAACCCAACACTACTCCACCGATCTGGGTTTTAAAATACTACTTTATAGTTTATAGAATGCAACATAGTTATTGCTACCCATATAGAATCTAACCAACGAGCCTTTTAAGTCTACCTTTTAGTATAATGTCTTGGTTGGTCCAGTTCAATGCAGCAAATGACATTGGCTAAAATTAATTAAAATAAACTTTGATTAGTTTGACTAATATAGCTAGCTGGTTTTGACTAGACGAATAAATTAAAATAAGTCAAGTAATTTCTATAATATAATTTATATGTGGGTGTGGTTTATATAGAGCTGAGACTCTAAACAATTAAAGTAGAGCGTACCTTCAAATAGTATCGAGAAATGTGGTTTCAATATTGGAAATCTTTGTGTTAGCCTTAAAATATATTTTCATCTCTAATTATAAAATTTCAACCATAAAAATTAGTGTAGATCGAGCAGATCTATGAAAATCTTGAAAATTGACGGTCAAAAAATGCATTATTGATGCACTATTTCCAAAAGTTGAAATCCATTTTTTTCTCATGTCCATGCATCTTGATGTTGAGATGATCAATTTGAAAATTTTTGGGCATCAAAACAACCTCTTCTAGTGAAATTTTTTATGTGCCCTCTAATTTGATTATTTAGAACCTCCTATGTAAACTTTTTTCTTTATATTTTTAAAATATTATTTTTTTGTTGTATTAATATAATCTAATTGGTTTGACTAGCAAATGAATCAATTTTGACTTGACCAGATCCTCCTGAATCTCACAGCTAATCTGATCTTGATAGGTAGCCCATATAATGTTTATGGGACTTACTCCATTACCCATTTCTACTAGGGAGGACAGGTTCGTATTTATCTGCAGAATGAGTGAAGGTTATTGTGGTATATATACGCAGTGTGTGTGGTACGCTTGCTAGTGTTGCTAATGTGCTTCCCCAAAATGGAAAATGGATGTGTTTTTCCAATTTTATGCTTTATCAAGAGAAAGTATTTCAATGCATTTTTAGAAAAAAGAAATTGTTAACAAACTGATTGCTCATTCATCTTTGAAGTATATGTCACATGTCGAATCGAGCTGGATCTGTATTCTCTAAGGTTTGTTTCATGTTGAAAAAAATAAAACTCCATTAGGAACCTGCAAGATCGGGTGGCCTGCCAGTTTTTAAAACAATGTGTATGTATGAGTACCAAAGGGTGAGATTTGTATAAGGTGTCAACCTTATATTATTACAATAAGGTGCACCTTAAAACTATACTGAAAATGTAATTTTGGTGCTGCAAAGCCTTGCGATGATATGAAAATCCATTGGTGCCCCTAATTATAAAATTTAAAGTTCAAGAAATTGTGTAAGCGGATCTATTATACTTGAAAATCTTGAAAATAGATGGTCCAGATAATGTGTTAGAAGATGAACTGTTTTTAGAACTAGAAATCCATTTTTTCATGCCTATGAATCTCGAGGTCAAGATGATCGACCTGAGGACTTTTCAGCATTGAAACAACTTTCTCTAGTGGGTTTTTTATCTACTACACCTTACTCATACGGTATATGTTGGGTTTATATGGCCTTTAAAGGCCTTATGAGTGTGTAATGTAAAACATTTATTATAGTGGAACATAAATTCAGTGGGAGTGTGGTCCCTCGAGGACCATACGAAGCAAATAATATTTGTTGATATCGAACTGTGCTTGACAAGCTAGGCAAGTCGGTTGAAAAACCCAAGGTACCTGAGCATAGAGAATAAACCGAAAATGGTTATGCGTTAGAGCTTATGCCTAGATGAGTGAGCCGAGGGACTGTGTAACCCTTGTGTGTGATGGTAGGCCTACAGAGACAGGGGC